AGAAAGCAATGACAAGTTCCATTCAGCAAATTCATTCAGAATTGTGTTATAGCGACTGAATTAGTGAAAGTATGTAGAAGTGCAAAAGGTCGAACCAGCGCGTTATACTTACTTTCAGGACGACTTTATCGTCAAGATTCCAAACTAATGAAAATAAAAATTCATTTGGTTTTCTCTACTGGGTTTTTTCAACTCACTTTACCTCGCTGTTCTTTTCACAAGCATCTAGTTATTATTTGGTATTCTATCAGTCCAACAGCCATCTGAGATTGGCATTCAGGGAAAACCTTGACGTAAGTTATCAACTAGTTCTTCATGTTATGTAAGTATGTATTATAATTTCACCAGCACCGCTAAATTCAGTATAATGTCTTAGTTGCTGTGTCAGAGATGTTGTGCGGCTTCTCCCAGATGTCTAGAACTTTGAGTGCTGTAATTCTAGTAGTTACCGGCTGTTATTTCGCCACAGTACTCGATCTGAAAGTCTTACAAGGACGGCGACTTGAGAGCAGAGCTTCGGCCTTGACGGGACTGGAACCCATAGTTGTGCTATCCGTGCAACGTGCTCTTATCCCTTACACTATGTAGACCCTGCTTTATCTCCTGTTCTTAATGGCTTATATGCCATAAGTTATCAGCACGCAGTTTCAACAGAGAAAAGCAGTGGTGTCTCTTAGGTACCTTTGCATGACTTTGGTGGCAACATCACTGTGAAGTTATACCGCTCGAAAGCTACCACTTATCCATCGCTATCACCTGTTTAGCTCTTTCCGGGAATGAATGAGCTGTTTCTTCTGCTCTTGCCCTCGAAACTGGCCAGCCTATGCGGTGACCAATTTCATGTACATGAGCAGATGAAACAGCTCATCTAATCGTGCAGCGTTATTCCAGCATTTATTTCCTTCTTATGACCTTGTTTTCCATTTAGTTTTTCAATTACTACACGTTGATATTACCAATACTACCGACGATCTATTTTATGAGGGCAAAAAGACGGCGAATCAGAAGTATAGCGGAGACCGTCAAAGTAAGTGCCCATCCAGGAGCAATGCTTTATGGTACTTCCCTTTTCGTTCACGTACACGTCGTTTTTGCAGATTGAATCAAAAGGATTTGAAGGCTGGATAAACTACTCAAATGTTATCAAGAAACAATGGACGTAGTTGTCGTCGAAGGTGAGCTGGACATTGACCGGAAAAGTTTTTCTTTTACTAAAATGTATCTGAGGCTGGTCAGAATTTTCACTCTTCCACGTGAGAGTTCTTCTCTTTGCATGTTGATACAATCCATTTTGAGAGTGGAGGTGGTATTGTGGCAAGTGGTGCACCACCACCCGCCCATGATAAAGGGTTCGAATCCCTGGATCGATATTTATCTAACCAGACAAACCCTTTCTCCTACCACAGTCAACTGATGTCAGATCGTGAGATGGTAGCAGTACTTGTACATCGGCTGGCCACTGCAATTTTTTGTATAGACCACATACGCGTTCAATATGCCACTACGATAGTTATTGGGGGTGGAATGCTCCGCGTTCTAGGAACAGGATGAACGCCTCCGAAATTTTCATGATTGTGGAAATCCAGAAATCTTATGTTTTTCAAAGTGAATATAAATAAGTAGGCCTGTTATCACCTGTAGTGTTATTGGGCCCCACACACTGCTTCACAACAAGCAACGAGTCAGTCAGAGAGAACCTTTTGTACTAAGCTCCACCGCTCGAGAATTTGGCTATAGGCTGTGGTGGATTATGACCTAATATAAAAAGTTCGACACCGCGATGAGTTTTCTTCGCCTGATTTGTTGACATAATGCCAACCTTTACCCATTTGAACCGTTTACTTGGCTTTTCAAATCAAGTTCAAAAGTTTCCTCATTGCAGCGTGTTTCCATAACCTCATACGTGCTTTGTTGATCTTGATCGAAGCCCCAGCCATCCTAACGTTGACTTTGAATAGCAACTTCTTTAGACAGTATCGAATTATGTGAATAATAGACTACCTCCGGAAAGTCGTCGAACGCTCTCTAAGGCACAACCGAGGGTAAATTTAGCTGATCCAGTCATTCGGATTAA